TTTTTTATATAGTTTTGATAAACGAAAAGTTAAGTAACTAAATTGATTAATTGGAACATCATGTACTAAATGCGCAAATATATATAGTTGGGGTATAAGAAAATTCTCTAATTATTTTATTATCTTAATACATTTTATTATAGTTTGTTTGAATTTATCATGTAATTTAGATCATATTTTGACACTTGAATATATTATTTCTTACTTGTCTGGTTTTATAATTTATAATGTAATCTTATTTATTAACTATTATTTTCTATACATATACTTACAATTTCTTTATTTGTGAACCATTTTTTATTTAAATAAGTACCATATTATTATCTAGTATCTTCTTATTTTTAGGAAGACTTTAAATATAAATTATTATTTAACTTACATTATAATAATTTACTGTGATTCAACGTAAAAAGAAATTTACTTTTATATTAATGAGAAATCAAAACAGACAAAACATTTTAAAATACCTATCTATAAATGGTGATAACAAATTTAGGTCAATTTTTACTTTAACCTATTATTAAAAAAAAAAAAAATTAACGGAGGTTGAAACACGTTTAATAAAATAATAAAAAATTAGAACTAACTTTCTATAAATAGTAATATAATGAGGGACCCACTAAACACTTACTATTTTTAGTAAGTGGGTTGCCTAATTATATAGTAATAGATAACATAAAACTTTGATCACAATATGTAAGAGAAAAAGGAAGAAAGTAGGGTAAAAGGCAAAAGGCTCGAGCATATTATATAGACCCCTATATGGCTACATTGTACGTAGTAGTTTGTATATGAATACAAAATTGTTATATTGTACGTACAAACCAAAATTTAGAATATAATAGTTGCCAGCGAACCGGTCAAATCTGGTAAGAACCGGTTAAAAAATGGTCGGTTAGATATTAGTTTGTATAAAACACTATATAATTAAAAATATTATTTAATTAAATATCGGTCTACTCGGTTCAATTCCTAATCGGAGTAGTGAATCGCTAAAATTGTAGATTAGTCGGTTCAGTGATCTATCTATTTTTAGAATCTTGATACGAACGGTAAATTTGCATAAGTACTGTGAATTATAGTATTTTCTTATTATATGCATTACTCTAAAAACTATAATATTAAGATTATTCTAAATATACTATAGATGTATCAAATAGTTATGTATTTTGAATATCTTAAACTATTTAATTAGTGAAGATGTAGTATATATATAATCTATAATT